GCTGCCAGCTCTTCCGCTGGGGGGCTTGGGACATAGTCCGGCTCAGTAGCCAGGGGAACGTGGGGGTCAGTGGGGGTTAACATCTCCCCTGTTAACCCTGGGGCCAAGTTAGGAGTTAGCTGGGGAGGGGAATTCGTACTTACCCCCTCCTCCTGTTGTCCCTGTGAGGGTAGTTGGGGATCTGGACAGGCTGTCCAGCATCCCTGTAGGTCGGGCACAGAGACCACGGTCCCCTCTGCGCCATCTGGGAGATTGGTGTCTCCCCTTGGTAGGGTAAGCTGCCGCTGGGGAGATAGGGTGCTGTGCTCCTCTCCCTGAAACACAGGCTGCCGCTGGAGAGGGAGACCGCCTGTCTCCACTCCCATAACATTGTCCTGCTGCTGGAGAGAGAGACCAACTGTCTCTGCTCCCTGTAGGACACACTGCTGCTGGGGAGGAAGGACGACACCTTCGGCTCCCTGTAACTTGCACTGCCGCTGGGGAGGAAGGACGACACCTTCGGCTCCCTGTAACTTGCACTGCCGCTGGAGACTAGGTGTCCATATCCTCAACCTCCACAGTTGTCGCTCAAAGGCCATTGCCGCACTGTTCTCAGCACTCAACTGGCGCATTACTTGGTGGACCACCTCGTTTGAAAGGTCTGGGCCATAGCAGACCAACCGCCTCTTTACCTCCTCAATGTAAGCGTCGTCCTCGTAGCGACGTATCATGTTGAGGTGCTCTTCGCAGGGCTCTATCCATCCCTGCTCCATGCTGCTGTAGTTAGGGACGCTGCACAGTGGCTAGCGTTGCCCTCAATAACCTCTCATACGATACCAGTGTCTCCGAGCTGCTTCTCCTCGCACTAGGACGCCATCCCACCGCTGCCACCAATGTAACGGAGCTCCCTGTACTCCGACTGAGTACCCTCCGTTGATGGATGCTCCTAGCGCTTCCTGAGGACTCCCAAGCACTGCAGCAGACACCACAACCACCGCAGACTCCACAACCGCCGTAGCTTAACTGGAGTCTCGCCGTCTTCCTTCCACCCTGGATCAGCTTCTGTCCTCCAGGACCGTGTGGGGAAGACCTCTCCTCCAGGAGAGCATAACAGGAACAGCTCTTAAAAGAGCTAAGTGATTAAAAGCTCAGGGGAATATGCAGAGCATAGCAATCCCCAGTGTGATATAGCAGTTCCCTCCAATAACAAGACAAGGCTACGTATTGAGGGTCAAGAAGATCTGTCAAAACCTTTATTCCCTTGGGACCAGCCAATACAGTCACCACAATAACATTGTTGTGAAACCTCAATAAAATCACAAACAGTCAAACCATATCAAGAAACACACAGTGACTTATCACAACACAATGGCACATTTTAAAAGGGGTGGGGGGAGACAATATTTAACAGTAAATATCTCACCTGCCTGCAGAATTAGCAATATGCAAATCTACCCGAATATGCAAATGAACCAGTCTTGCAATTCAGGTAGTGCATATTGCTGTTGCTACCAACAGAGGGCACTAGACAAGCTCCATAGCCAAACCCACCTAGTTGGTAGCAAACCTCAGCAATACAAGAGAGCAGGCAATACATTACACAGTACACACACACACACTATAAACAATTACATAACACACACCCTGCACCTATAATGGGTACAGGGTGACTAAAACATAAGATAAATAAAGCCGCCTACATAAATAGTCTGTCTGAAGGTAGACTAGGGGCTTTAAAGCCAGATACATGAAAGAGTCGTAGTCACAGGGGAGGAGGCTGGCAAGTAGGCCTCTCCAGGACCAAGCGGCGAAGGACACTTCGTCACAGGCGCTGTGTGTGTAAGGGTGATGTATGTGTGTATAATTGTGCTGTATGTATGTGTGATGTTAGTGTGTGTGTTAGTTTGTGTATGTGTAAGGGTGCTGTTAGTGTGAGGGTGCTGTTAGTGTGTGTGAAGGTGCTGTGTATGTGTGTAAGGGTGCTGTGTGTGTGTGTGTGTGATGTTAGTGTGTGTGTGTATGTGTAAGAGTGCTGTTAGTGTGTGTGTGAGGGTGCTGTGTGTGTAAGGGTGATGTATGTGTGTGTGCTATATGTTTGTGTGTATTGTGTGGGAGTGTGGGGACTGTTTAGTTAATATCCCCCCTCCCTTCTTACCTTTTGTAGGGAGGGGGACCATGCTGCTGCCATTCCTGGTGGTCCAGTGGTGAGTGAACTCTCGCGACATCTGAGCGTTGCCGCAGTAACCACGGCATGCTCCGACCTCGCGAGAGGAACCCGGCGGAGCTGCTGGCAAGAGCTCCCCGGGTCCTCTCCTGCCTCCCTCACTTTCTTTGGGTCGGTGAGGGAGATCTTTGATCTCCCTCACAGGCCCATGGATGGAGGCACATAGCGCAGGCCACGGGGATTAGGGTGTGCCTAGGCACACCGGGCACACCCCGTGCACACGCCTATGACCGCAATATTAGACGCTTCTATTTGACTCTCAGATATGAAGTGCACGCCCCAAAATGTACTATTTAGCAGTTTAGCACCAAAACAATTAGAATGTTTACAAATGCACTGTAACCGCAGTATTAGACGCTTCAATTTGACTCTGAGATATGAAGAGTGTTACGGTACCCTCAGCATGAAATGCACAAACCGCCGTTTAGTGAATCCTCCCCTCTCGCAATAGCATAGGCTGCATGCGTATCCAGTACAATCATGTGAACCGCAAGCAAGGGAACACTGCAAACTCACGAACGGGATCCGTACGGGCACTTCACTCCACGAGCTCCAAACTCAGGAATCGCTACTAGTAGCCGGACGCATATATCTCCCAAGCGGCTAATAATTCCATCCAGCAATCTCTAGTCATCGGTAATAAATCCCCCCAATAACGAGACCAAGCTCCGCATTGGGGGTAAAACAAGAACTGGCTTTACTGTGGGCTACCTGCCCGTATTTATGCAGGTCTCCCACTTGGTGGACACTCCCCTAGGGGACCAAATGGGAGACTGTAACAATAGACAGACATATGGCAGGTTAGGACCCACAGACACAGAATATTCCCAGCATGCATTAGTATTCCCTCCCCTCTGCCCTGGAGATAATTGAGAAGTAATTCAATTATCTCCAGGACAAAGGCAAATCGCCATTTTAAATTCAACACAGAAAAACATATAAAAATATATAACTTTGCATTTGTCGAATGCTAACCATTCGTATCACATATCCCCATATGAGTGCATATTATTGGCGAATAGCGCTCAGATCCCATACGCATAGTTCAATCGCCATGGAGTCAAAGTCTATTACAATCTTTCGGTATGCGATTGACTCCATGGGAAGGCTATCTGGGGTAAGTCCATTCGTGTGTTTAAACCTCCCGAACGGCCGGTGTTCGCATCCTTCTGTCGATTGAGAAGGGAGGTCGGCGGCTTCAGCGGTGTTCGGCAGAAAAAGTGTCCGTTTTCAGTTCCATGAAATCAATACCGAGCACCGCTGGTCTTTCGCATGGTTTAAAATGGCCGCCGCCTCATGGTCGACATACGAACGACGACCACCCTGCATTCGGTTTTAATTGAGAAGTGTCTGCGGTTAACCACAACGTTCTAATTGGGATCAAGAGGTTAACCAGCAGCACACTTCTCTTCTGGGTGGCGGTCCGTTCGGTAGTTTTGTTAGGCGAAAAAGTCAATTCACTGAACAGGGGCATACGAACGGGTAATTACACGAATAAGGCAAAACAGACGAACCAGCAATCTTAGTCTATACAGATGGATCTGTCACAAAGAGCAGACCACAAAATGTACTATTTAGCAGATTAACACCCAGAAAATAAGCATGTTTACCACTGCACTGTAAGCACACTATTTGACACTTCGATTTGACTCTCAGATATGAAGTGCACGGCAGGCCGCAAATGTACTATTTAGCAGATTAGCAGCAAAACAATTAGAATGTTTACAACTGCGCAGTAAGCAAGTATGCTTAATATTTGACTCTCTATTTGACTCTCAGATATAAACCGCAGGCGCCAAAATGTACTATTTAGCAGATTAGCACCCAGAAAATTTGAATTTTTACAACTGCGCTGTAAGCACACTATTTGACGCTTCGATTTGACACTCAGATATGAAGAGCAGGCCACAAAATGTACTATTTATCAGATTAGCACACATCATCTTCCACCCACTCCTCAACTCTGCCCTCCTTGCCGCTCAGGGGAAGGGGCCAGCTGGGGCAATAGGTCCCCCCTTTAGATTAAAAGCCCCGACTCGCAGGTCATGAGTAGGGGCTGTGGAGCGGGCCCCAGTTTAAAAAAAAATGTTTTAACTGTGAGCAGCCACAGGCTATTTAATAGACATGCCCCTACTAGCTTATATAGAGGTTGGGTCACATGCTGCACTGGCAGGGCCGGCGCGTCCATAAGGCGGCACAGGCGGCCGCCTTAGGGCGCACCGGCTCTGGGGGCGCAAAATTCCAGTGACCGGCAGGAGGGAAGTGCTCCCTCCTGCCAGGTCACCTCCTGGATCCCCGGCGCGGCTTGCGGCTGAATTGGATGCCGAGGGAGTTCTGATCTCTCTGATCTGCTCCCTCGCAGGCTGCTGACTGATGACGTCATATTCCGGCTCCCGCGGCATCAGTCAGCAGCCTGCGAGGGAGCAGATCAGAGAGATCAGAGCTCCTTCGCCACCTAGGAATCCAATTGCCTCCCAGCAGCCCCACTGGACCACCAATGAGAGACCCACGCCAGCTCTCCAGGTAGGGAGGCTGGGTGGGAAATTTAAATTTAATTAAGATTTTTAATTTCTGTGTGTGTGTGTGCATGTGAGTATGTGAGTCTGTCAGTGTGTGTGTGACTATGTGAGTTTGTGTGTGTGTGTGAGTGAGTATGTCTGTCAGTGTGTGTGTGAGTGAGTGTGTCTGTCAGTGTGTGTGTGACTGTGACTGTGAGTTTGTGTGTGTGTGAGTGAGTGTGTGTGTGTGAGTATGTCTGTCAGTGTGTGTGTGAGTGAGTGTGTCTGTCAGTGTGTGTGAGTATGTGTGTCTGTCAGTGTGTGTGTGACTATGTGACTGTGAGTTTGTGTGTGTGTGTGTGTGTGAGTGAGTATGTCTGTCAGTGTGTGTGTGAGTGAGTGTGTCTGTCAGTGTGTGTGTGTGTGTGTGTGAGTGAGTGTCTGTCAGTGTGTGTGTGTGAGTGAGTGTGTCTGTCAGTGTGTGTGTGAGTATGTGTGTCTGTCAGTGTGTGTGTGACTATGTGACTGAGTTTGTGTATGTGTGAGTGAGTGTGTGTGTGAGTGAGTATGTCTGTCAGTGTGTGTGTGAGTGAGTGAGTCTGTCAGTGTGTGTGTGAGTGAGTGTGTCTGTCAGTGTGTGTGTGAGTATGTGTGTCTGTCAGTGTGTGTGTGACTATGTGACTATGTGAGTTTGTGTGTGAGTGAGTGTGTCTGTCAGTGTGTGTGTGAGTATGTGTGTCTGTCAGTATGTGCATGTGCGCATGTGAGTACGTGTGTCTGTCAGTGTCTGTGAGTTTGTGCGTGTGTGTGTCAGTGTGTGTTTTTCAATGAGTCTGTCAGTGTGCGTGTGAGTGTCTGTCAATGAATGAGTGTGTCAGATAAGTGAGTCTGGCTGTCAGAGATGTCTGTATGTTTGTCATTGAGTGTGTGTGACTGTCAGTGTTTATACACCCCTGACTGTAGCGTGGGCAAGCGGAGTGTACCGTGGTACAGGAACTTCTGTTTCCTGTACCTGGCAGAACTTACAGGAAAAACTCACTGTACCGGGATTCGCTCCGCTCAGCCACGCTACAAAAAAAGGTAGGAGGCACACCAGGAAGGGGAGGGGACCACTATGGGGGTGGGTGGCGCACCAAGGGACAGGGAGAGGAGGGGAGAGATATCCTAAGGTACAGGAAAAGGAGGGAGGGGGGGAGAGGAACACTAAGCGACAGCCAACAGATGGGGGAGGTGAGAGGAACACTAAGGGACAGGGAAAGGAGGCGGGAAGGGAAAGGAACAGTAAGGGTCAGAGAAGGGAGGGGACCATTAAGGGACGGGGAGAGGGGCCGGATGTGAAAGAAACACACAGCGGGGCTTGAGAAGGAAAGAGACACACACAAAGGAGCTGGGAAGGATAAAAGACACAAATGGGCTGGGAGAAAAGGAGTCACACAAAGGGGCTGGGAGGAGTAAGACACAAAATGTGGGAGGATGTAAGAGTCATACAAAGAGGAGAGATAGGAGACACACAAAGGAAAAAATAGGAGATAAAATACACTAAAGGGAGTCAGATATTTAAAAGACGGGATAAGAAACACAAAAGGGAGGTTAAGAGGCACATGGGTGAAGATGTTTTTGGGGGGGCGGAAAAATGCATCTTCGCCTATGTACCCAAAATTCTTTGCACCGGCCCTGTGCACTGGCCAATCTGGGTTCGCTCAACTCTAGTTACATACATTGCCTTTTCTATAAGGTTTATCTACACTAACTTTTTTTTTTCTTTTCATGTGTCTACAGAATCAATGTGCCTATGTAACAATAGAAGAAAATATATATATTAAGCTCCACCCATTATATATATATATATATATATATATATATATATATATATACAAGGTGTGGGTGAAGGGGATTATCCACAGGTGTGTAGAGCTTTTTTCCACTAAGCATTGTACTGATAATACAATATCTGATTTCACTTTGAAGTAGAGATGATTCACACTTTAGTGAATAATCATGATGCTTTCTATAGACCAATGACCTGTTGGTAGCTCTGCAAGATACCATATTATATTAGTAACTTTTTCCTTCAATATGAACAAGATACATTGGTTGCATGGAACAATATTCAAAATGCTGACTTATTTACATGAAGAGAATGTATAGTAAGTGCCAAAACCAACCTTGTGTAGTGTTAGTACCAGCTGGAAGAGCAGTGCTATAAACATGAAGGGATGGTGTCCTTTGCTGCCCTTTATTAGTGTTATTAGAATACAACACTGTAGAATTTTCTGTGCAGAAGAAATTTGGAAAGAAAGTAACTGAGTTTGCATTTTACTGTATTTTTATATGTTTTTGCTCAGCCTCTATTATACTGCAATTCGCCATTAAATACCTTTACAATAATTGTGAATTAACAAATTAACTAATCAATACAGGTTTAAAAATAATATCAGGAAGTATTACTTTACTGAGAGGGTAGTGGATGCATGGAATAGCCTTCCAGCTGAAGTGGTAGAGGTTAACACAGTAAAGGAGTTTAAGCATGAGTGGGATAGGCATAAGGCTATCCTAACTATAAGAAAAGGCCAGGGACTAATGAAAGTATTTAGAAAATTGGGCAGACTAGATGGGCCAAATGGTTCTTATCTGCCGTCACATTCTATGTTTCTATGTTTCTATGTTTCTATGTAAAGAGAATGGGTCCAAGTACAGATCCCTGATGTACCCCACTGATGACAAGCCCATGCTTCGAATATACTCCATTGACTACAACCCTCTGTTGCCTGTCACTCAGCCACTGACTTACCCATTCAACAATATTGGACTCCAAACTTAAAGATTGCAGTTTATTGATAAGTCTTCTATGTGTAACAGTGTCAAAAGCCTTACTGAAATCTAGGTAAGCAATGTCTACTGCACCACCCTGATCTATTATTTCAGTTACCCAATAAAAAAAATCAATAAGATTAGTTTGGCATGATCTCCCTGAAGTAAACCCATGTTGTCTCTGATCTTGAAATCCATGTGATTTTAGATGTTCAACGATCCTATCCTTTAACATGGTTTCCATTACTTTCCCCACTACTGAAGTAAAGCTTACTGGCCTATAGTTGCCTGACTCTTCCCTACTACCTTTCTTGTGAATAGGCACAACATTCACAAATTTCCAATCTTCTGGGACTACTCTCGTTAACAATGATTGGTTAAGTAGATCCGTTAATGGTTTTGCTAGTACACCACTAAGCTCTTTTAATAACTTTGGGTGTATTCTATCAGGTCCCATTGACTTATTTGTCTTTACTTTTGACAGTTGAAATAGAACCTCTTCCTCTGTAAACTCACATGTAACAAATTACTAATCTGTCTTTCTTCCTAACTGAGGCCCCTTTCCTTCATTTTCATCTGTAAATACTGAACAAAAATATTCATTGAGGCAGTCAGCTAGACCTTTATCCTCTTCTACATACCTTCCTTCTTTTGTTTTTAATCTAAGTAATCCTTGTTTTACTTTCCTTTTCTCATTTATGTATCTAAAATATGTTTTGTCCCCTTTTTTTACTGACTGTGCTATTTTCTCTTCTGTGTGTGATTTGGAAGCTTTTATAACTTGCTTAGCCTCTTTCTGCCTAATCTTATAGATCATTCTGTCTTCCTCAATCTATCATCCTGACCGAAACTAAAGGCACTACCCTTGTAAGAACTGATTTGGACTTGTTTCTTAATTATATGCAAATCTTACACAGCATTTGATTGGTGCATCATGGCAAATTGCCATGCATGAGCCCTAGCCTCCCAGAGAACAGCACAGTCAGGCAACAAAGGTAAGTAAAACTCACCTGTCAAACATTCATGAGGGGGCATATAAATAAGTAGGGGAACAATATAGCACCAGGAATATGTTTGTTCCTTTAAAGAAAAAATTCTATTTATAAATGTCAAATGTAAAAACAAACAAATCTTTTCCCAAAAGATTACCCTTAGAAACATCTAAAATAAGGAAATTGGAAAACATTCTAAAAGCTGGCCTATTTACTTGAAGATAATTCATTGTCCATGCCCATCCTGACATTGTGCAGTGTTAATACCAGAAGGAAGGGCAGTGCTTTAATCCTGAAATGATGTAATGCTATGCTGCCCTCTAACGGTGATGTTAGAATACAACACTGTAGTATTTCCTGTACAGAAGAAATTAGAAGAAAAAAAAATAAAAACTCACAGCACTCTAATAGCTTTTTTTTTATTTTATTTTTTTAAAGTCTACAACCTCTAAAAACTCTTTAGCTGTATAGTTATGCATTCTTGCTCAGCTTCTGCTAAGCTAAAATCCACCGTGAAAAAACCTGAACTGATGTCAGGTAAAAAAAAAAAAAAAAAAAGCTAACTAATGAATACAGCGTGGAGCAAAATATAGCATACAATATGTAATTATTACCAGCCCTCAAATATCCATCGTTTAAAGAATAAGATGTAATTTATAAGTGAAAAAATTTAAAACTGAAGACAAACATGGCTTTCCCCCCAAAAAAAAAAATACACGCAGAAACATCTGTCTTATATAGTAATTCTGGGTGAATATTTGATCAGACCATCATTATTGGTTGACGTGTTGCTGAATATGTAGCATTGGATGAAGTATTATGTTGTTCTCTACTGATCCTAATACTGGTATTACCGTGGCACAAGTCTGTACAGTAATGTAATCAGAAATGGGAATATGAAGTAACGTATTTCATACCTCTTAGAAATTAATATTTTTCCAACTTTCATTAAAAAAAGAAAATCTTTTTTTTTTTCTTAAAAACACTATTTAAAATTGATCGTGCAAAAATCCAGCTAATAAAATGCAATGGAGTCTCCGTTTAATTTTCTACCAACCTTTTTTGGTAGTATGAACACTTGGAGATACACTACTGTACACGTGGCTATCTCCCCACATGACACCTGAGTGGCTATTTTTGCTCAGGGTGGTATCTGTACAGAATAGAGCAAGAAGTAGAAATTAGCTAACAAAATAGTGAAGATGAAGTGTTAAATCTACTTAAAAGTAGTCAAAAAACAAAATATCAACTGACCTTGGCTAGTGGATGTGGCTGGTTGAAATGTTGTAGAATATGTGGCATGGGATGAAGTATTATGCTGCCCTCTACTGGTAGTACTGTGGTACAAGTCTGTAGTGTTATGCTGCCCTCTACTGGTAGTACTGTGGTACAAGTCTGTAGTGTTATCTGCACGAAAGGGATTATGAAGAGGACACACAAGGAAAAAAAGCAACTCACAGTGCCCTAATAGTTCTTTAATTGTATACATATTATTATTTATTTTTTATAGCACCAACTTATTCAGCAGCGCTTTTCAATATTATAAAAAGAGGGAAATGTAACAGTCATGCATTCTTGCTCAGCCTCTCCTAAGCTGAAATCAGCACAAAAAAAAACCATTTGCATATTGGTCGCTAACTAGTGAATACAGCCTGAAGCAGATGGTGGTATACACTGCATTATTATTATTAACCAGACTCAAATATCCATATTTTAAAGAATAAGATCTAACTGAAATGTTAAATGTAAAAACTGATGACAAGCACATCTTTTACAAAAAGATTGCATGCATAAAAATATTTCTAATATGGAAATTTTGTCTCAAACCACCTCTATTACTCATAAAACAAAATGCCAACTAACATTGACTGGTGATTATTAGAGTTGAACGGACACCTGGATGCTGGGGTCCGGCAGGTTCGGCCAAACTTTGAAAAAAAGTCCGGGTTCGGGCTCGAACTTGACCCCGAACCCCAACCCCAACCCCATTGAAGTCAATGGGGACCCGAACTTTTGGCCACAAAAATGGCTCTAAAAAACTCCTGGAAAGGGCTAGAGGGCTGCAAAGTTAAGTAAAATGGGGGTAAGAGTAGGACAAGTGCCCTGCAAACAAATGTGGATAGGGAAATCACTTAAAAATAGCATAACATAAGCTTAGTAGATAACTCCCTAATTCCCACGGTACCTAAATTGGTCACCTAAATTGGTCTTTCAGCCACATTTACTAATACTAAGTAAAGATTACTTAGTATTATTAAATTCAGCCCCTACTTGCTATACCGCGAGTAGGGACGTGTCTGGTAAACAGTGAGCAGCCAGTGCTGTCGCACAGGGGTGGGGGCCCTAAATAACAATAAGGGGTCCTCCACCTACTGTCCTCCCCCCCGGCCCCCATCCCTGCACGGCGGGTGGGGCCCTAAATAACAATAATGGGGGGACCTACTGTCCTCCCCCCTGCCCCCACCCCTGCGCTGTGGGTGGGGCTCTAAATAAAAATAAGAGGGGGGACCTAAGGTCCTCCCCCCCGGCCCCCACCCCTGAGCGGTGGGTGGGGGCCATAAATAAAAATCCCCCTCCAGGTGACTAGGGGCCCCCAAACCCCTAGTCACCCCCCTCCCTAAAAAACCTAACCCCTACCTAACCCCCCCCTTGGCTTGAAATCCACCAATCAGAGTGCTCTGTGTCATTTTACACAGCGTGGGAAAGTTCTTTGAATTTTCCCACGCTGTGTAAAATGACACAGAGGCCTCTGGTTAGCTTGAAATCCAGCCAATCAGAGTGCTCTGTGTCATTTTACACAGCGTGGGAAAGTTCCAAAGAACTTTCCTACGCTGTGTAAAATGACACAGAACACTCTGATTGGTTACTTTATCCACCAATCAGAGTGCTCTGTGTCATTTTACACAGCGTGGGAAAATTACAAAGAACTTTCCCACGCTGTGTAAAATGACACAGAGCACTCTGATTGGTGGATTTCAAGCCAACCAATCAGAGTGCTGTGACAAGTAAATGTAGAGAATTACCTGTCAGTCTCTTCCTTTACCTGTCAGAGCACTCTGATTGGATGGCTTAAACCTGCTACTCAGAGTGCTCTGAGCCTAATTGCAGGGCGGGGGAAGGCTTTATAAGCCTTCCCCCGCCCTGCAGAGCTCAGTCTGCACGGAGCCCTCCATGGGTGAAGAAGCACTCGTCGGTTATTATGGATTTTGATTTGGCCTTTTTTGGGGCTGAAAAAAGAAGATTTTAGAAGAAAGAAAACATCAAATGGTAAGTTTTATTTTATCTTTTTTAACAGGTACTTAGTTAATGCCCTCCCCTCATTATTTTTAGGGTGAGGGGGGTAGGTAGGGGTTATTTTTTGGGGGGGGAGGTGGGTGACTAGGGGTTTGGGGACCCCTAGTCACCTGGGGGGGGGATTTTTATTTAGGGTCCCCACCCACTGCTCAGTGGTGGGGGCCGTGGGGGAGGACATTAGGTCCCCCCCTATTGTTATTTATGGCCCCCACCCACCGCTCAGGGGTGGGGGACAGGGGGGAGGACCTTAGGTCCCCCCCCATTATTGTTATTTAGAGCCCCCACCCACCGCGCAAGGGTAGGGGCCGGGGGCCGGACATTAGCTGTCCCCCCAATTTTTATTTATGGCCCCCAACCACCGCTCAGGGGTGGGGGCCGGGGGGAGGACATTACGTCCCCCCCATTTTTTATTTATGGCCCCCACCCACTGCTCAGGGGTGGGGGTCAGGGGGGAGGATAGTAGGTCCCCCTCTTATTGTTATTTAGGGCCCACACACGCGGCACCGGGGTTGAGGCCGGGGGGAGGACATTAGGTCCCCCCCCAATTTTTATTTATTACCCCCACCCACCACTCAGGGATGGGGGTTAGGGGGAGGACAATAGGTCCCCCCTTATTGTTATTTAGGGCCCCCACCCGCCGCACAGGGGTGGGGGCCGGGGGGAGTACAGTAGGTCCCCCCTTATTGTTATTTAGGACCCCCACCCACCACTCAGGGGTGGGGGCCGGGGGGTGGGGGCCGGGGGGAGAACAGTTGGTCCTTATTTGTATTTAGGGCCCCCACCCACCGCTCAAGGGGTGGGGGATGGGGGGGCAATAGGACCCCCTTTAGTTTAAAAGCCCCCACTCGGGTGGGGGCTCGGGGGGGAATATTTTTTTTATTGTTTTTTTAACAGTGAGCAGCCAAAGGCTGCTCACTCTTTAATAGACATGCCCCTACTGTCGGTATAGCGAGTAGGGGCATAATTTACTAATACTAAGTGACCAGCTTCTATAGAGGCTGGGTCGCTTGCTGCACTGGCCAATCACAGCCATGCCATTAGTAGGCATGGCTGTGATGGCTTCTAAGGGCACACGAGTCAAACGCTTGTTGATTGGCTGCCCTCCAACCGAACTCCAACCTGAACATACAGTGATATGTCCGTGTTCGGGTCGGGGGTCCAAAACACGTAATGTTCGATACGAACCCAAACTTTTCAGTTCGGGTTCGCTCAACTCTAGTGGTTATTTGTGTCTGGTTGCAGTGTTGGGAAATATGTGGCATTGGATGAAGTATTATGCTACCCTCTACTGGTAGTACTGTGGTATAAGTCTGTAGTATTGTCTACACGAAAGGGATTATGAAGGAAACGCATTTCCTACCTCTTAGAAATTCATATTTTGCAGCGTTCATTAAATAGAGTATCTTTTTTTTTCTTGCATAAACTATTTAAATTTAATTATGTAAATATCTAGTTAATAAAATGCCATAAAATTGCTGTTGTGTTACTGTCTGGAGTGTCCCTTTAATTTTCTACCAACCTTTTTTGGTAGCATGAACACCTGGAGATACACTACTGTACACATAGCTATCTCCCCACATGCCATCTGAGTGACTATTTTTGCTCAGGTTGGTATCTGTATAGAATAGAGCAAGACATAGAAACCAGTTCAGAAATAGTGGTGATTAAGTGTTAAATCTTCTTAAAGGTATTTATAAAACATAATGCCAACTGACCTTGGCTAATGGATGTGGCTGGTTGAAGAGTTGCAGAATATGTAGCATTGGATGAAGTATTATGCTGCCCTCTACTGGTAGTACTGTGGTACAAGTCTGTAGTGTTATCTGCACAAAAGGGATTATGAAGAGGACACACTTCATACCTCTTAGAATTTTAGATTTTGCAACTTCCATTAAAATAAATTAAAAAGTTCACTGACTTTTTTTTAGCAAAAACAAAATCCAATTTTGTATGCATAAATACAGCTAATGCAATGCCATAAAACACAGTAGTGTTACTGTCTGGAGCGTCCCTTTAATTTTATAACATGACAGGAGGCTTCATATTTGCTTAAGTCTCTCTTTACTAGAACTCCACAGCAGCACAGAAAAAACAACCAATCAGAAAAAAGTAAGGTACTATAAAACTCCCCTCCCCATGCATAATTTCCTCTTTCTTTGCTGGAGCACCAGCCCTTCCCTCACTACCGTCTTAGGTCTGGTGAGTTGTCGTCACTTCCGGTCCGAGCAAATCTTCATTTACTTACCTGCACCTCGTGGAAAGCTTACCTAGTCCTAGCAGATCATGATCATCCGGTTTTCGGTTGCCTGATTCCGAAATCCGACTGGTAGTAACGGGGGGCTTCAGTTGGCTGCGTCCGGTTACAAACCATAAGTTACCACGGCCCGCCGCAATAACGGCACAGGCACTTACGTGATCCTAGGTCGACCGGGTTCACGCATGCTTGTAGTTTACTTCTGTTCGCGGCTGAGTGAAAGCTATCATTTACAGGGCTGTTCCGGCCAATTTGGTCTGACCGAGCGTTCGGGTACTACATACACGAACAAAGTACCCATTACCAATGTGGTTCATTTGTTTTATGGAGCATTTCTGTGTTATATACAAGTCCTAGCCATCTTATGGCCGTTCGTATAGTTTGCTGAACGCACTATCCTCACTTAGACGGTAGCAATATATATGTGTGTGTGTTAAAGCGACCTCTGGTGGTCATGTTGGTTATGGCAAGTAGGAATAAATTATCTAACGACAGGTTTCATTGCACTTTTATAAGCTAAATTAGGTATTTGTGTCAAAGTGACCGCCGGTGGTCATGATGATGGTTATGGTAAGTAGTATTTATCTACCAACGGTTTCATGGTATTTTTATATGCTATATTAGGTATATATGTAATAGCGACCTCCGATGGTCATGATGGTTGTGACCAGTTGTAATTAAGTTTATGCTTACAGGTTTCACTTCATTGTCACTAGTACATCTATATCTAGCACTTACGTTGTAGGTATCGGTTTATGCAGCGTTCAGCTGTTTCAGCATTATGTGTATGGAGCAATATTCGGTGTTTGGGCAATTTGAAGCAAATAAGTGATTATAGACGTTTTATATTTCAGTCTCTACAGCATTCACAGTGTGCTGCTACTCTGCCACCTTTTTGCTTCATCGGGTATAGGTCAGTAATTTACGATTATTTATCCACTTATGGTCCCATAAGGC